CAGAGGGTGGGGCTGGGTGGGTGTGTGGCCATGAGGGGCCACGGAGGGCAGTGTAGGGCAGGGCAGGGCGGGGCTGTGGTCACAGAGGGCTGTGGGGTCCAGAGTTGGGACGGAGGTGGGGCCATGAGGGGTGGCGGAGGGCTGGGACCAGACAGGGCTGGGAACGGCTGCTGATGGCAGGTTGGGGGCGGGGCCAGCAGGGCCAGGCAGTTCCCTCCAGCCCGTCATACTGGACGATGCTGGAACTCCACGTTTTGGGGTTGAATACGCCCATCACACAGGTATGACAAACCACCGACCCCTGGAAAGCCACCTGCCCACTTACCTGCCCCAGAACCGCAGATGGCTCCTCTGCGACCTGGTCTGGATATCGGTGTGCTGTTGGGACATGGGGAGGATGCCCGAGGCTGGTCCTCGTAGGCCCTGGCAGCATGTCCCTAGCCATGAGCCGCTGTGTGGCGCTGGCACAGCCCACAGGGCCTTGGAGGCTGGACATCCCAGGCTGGGCAGGCCCTGCGCACCACGTACCCTGGGGGATGGCATTCAGAATGTGGGTGACTGTGAATACCCAGGTAGGGAAGCCTGGAAGGTCCCTGACGTTGATGCCACCACTGTCTCCTCCCATCTGCGAGTGAACTGGGTTTCTCCTTAGAACACCCCTAACATGCCTGCTTCTACTCCAGGGCTGGGAGGCTCCATGTGTTGACCATGCTCACCCGGGCAGATGCTAACCATGCCCCCAGGGCAATGATGACCGTGCCCCTGGGCAGATACTGACCACGTCCTGGGGCAGATGTCTAGGGCCCTGAATGCAATCCCTCCTGGACACTCTCTGTCCCTCGAGCCAAGGGTCCTGGCCCCTGGGATGCAGCACATTCCTCAAACGGCTGGAGCCAGCAGCAGGCATGACAGTCAGGTCAAGATGAGGGGACCCTCCTCTGTCCTCGGCCTGGCCCCATATGTCCCCGGCCTCCTAGCAGTGCAAGGAAAGGCCCAGAGAGAGAAAAAGAGGAACCAGCAGGTGGGCACCATCACAAAGACCCCTGGCAGAGCAGCTGTGGTGGGGGTGGGGGCTTTTTTCTCCTTCTACAGATGAGAAAACAAAGTCCTGTCCCTCTCTCCCCAGCCAGAGTAGGGCCATTTTTCAGCAAGAGCCTATGCTGGGCAGTGGGGCCACGCCCCCATTCATGTCTGTGGGCACATCCCCTAGGGTCTCTATGGCCAGGGTGCCTCCCTCCACAGGCCATGACCTCATGACCCCTAGACTCCCTAGCCTCAGGACCTAGGAAAGTTCTGTCCACCGGGGCAGCCAACTGCTCACTGCCCACACCCTGGTGGCTGCACGCAGGGGCCGGCAAGGCTGAAACAAACCAGTGCATCTGCACCTGGAGCGCTGCTCAGCAGTGACAGCGAGCGACTGCTGCACACACAGCCACATGCAGGAGACATGGGCCTGCAGCAGCCCCAAGGGCCACACACAGAGTGCTGCTCCACACAGCATTCTTAAGTGACACATGATAGAACAAAGAAACTAGTGGTTGCAGGGGCTGGGAGGAGGGGGACACACAGGGACCGGCTGGTCCTGTGGGCTGGAGCCTCCAGTGTGGAACCACCAAGAGCCTGGTGTGGTCTTGGTGGTTGTACTGGGGGAAACTGGGTGACAGGCAGGCAGGACCTCTGGGCTATTTTTCACAGCTGCATGAGAATCTGCAATGATCTCAACAGAGTTTAGTTAAAAAAAAAAAGAGAGAAATTAGAAATGGAAAGGGGGTGGAGGGCTTCCTTTACTGAAACCTGCCACTGGGCTGAGGAGGGAGTTTTCCCCTGCCGTGTTTCAACCTCTCCTCCTCCCCAGGTACCAGCCTACCACAACCTTCAGACAGCACCCCTTCCCCAGACACCCGGCTTCCCTCCCCCAGGCCCTTGAATAACAGCAACAACAATCATGACAGCACCAGCCTTCATGTGTGTAGCTAGAGGCAGGTAGGAGGGAAGGAACAGTGTGGCCTCCTGGGGGCTCCACGAAATGGGCACAGCAGGGCAAGCCACCTTTCCCTGGTGGGGTGGGGTCACAGGAAGGGGTGGCCAAGGCTCCAGTTACAGAACCGACTGGGAGGAGCTCAGGGACACCCCAGCCTGGAAGGGGCCCATCTAGGACCTGCATGGGGTGGAGATACGGGATGGGAAGGGATGTCCCTCATCCTCTCCACGGGAGGAGGGAGCACCTTGCAGGGTTTGAGACAGACTGCTGGCTGGTTTGGGGGGTGGAGAGGGTCGATCCCAGGGGATGGCATGGAGGGCCTGAGAACCCTTTGGGGGCTCCCTGGGGCTGGGGAGACCCCCCTGTCCAGACCCAGCACACAGTGGAGACTGCCAGCCAGGTGGGAGGAGCGCCCCTTCCTGTCCCGCCATTCATGGGCGATCCGTCCTCCAGGTTACAGTCACCTCCTCTCTAGAATCCTCCGAGGGATTCCGGGGGCAGCTCCTGGGTGGGGCGTCCAGCAGGAGTTCCCTTCCCCGTAGCCGGGTGTTCGGGGAGAGCGAAACGGGTCCCGTACAGAATGCCCGCCGGCCTCGCTCAAGTGGGCGGGACGTGGGCGGGACCGGTTCCCTCGATTCCAGGGCGAGAGTGGGAGTGAGCAGGCCCGGCGGGGCGGGGTCTCCTGAGCCAAGTCTGGGGCGCTCCGCCCCCTGCGGCAATGCTGGGCGGGGCGTCACAATGGCCCGCGGTCCCCATGGCAACGCATGGAGCGTCCAGTGCAAGGCCTTGGTTTCTGGCAGTCCACGTGGGGCTCCGCTCCGGGACGCAGGCAAGTGGGTGGCGCGCCGGGCCAGGTGGAGAGGGCTGAGGGACGCGGGAGGGCGAGAGACAGGTAGACCGGGCCCCAGGAGGGGGGCCTGGGGCGAGGGAAAGGGCGAGGTGGAAGGGGAGGGGTTAAGGGGAGGCTGGAGGGACATGGGTGGTCTCTGGGAGGCGCGCCTGGGTGAGGCACTGTAGGCGGGGATGGGGCTCAGGGCGGCCCTCCCAGGATTCACACCAGCTGCTCTGCGGTCTCCAGCTGGGAGGCTGTTGGTGACATCCCCACCGCAGCGGACAAGACTTTCAGAGAATCGCCCGGCCTCCAGCCAGAGCAGGACTTAGGCCAGGGTTCCAGGTCCTGCTCTCACCTCACACGACCCAGATACCCTCTCTGCATGCCCCCTGCCCCAGGAAGGTCAAGGCTGGCCCTTCAGGAGCTAGATGGACTTGGGTCCCGGCTTCACCACACCAGGTTGTGACCTTGAGTAAGTTCACGCAGTTGTGTCATTCTCATCTTGAGTTCAACCAACCTGGGGTGCCCATAACACCCTGAGATCCAGGTGCAGGTGCCAGCCCAGCTGGAGGGTCGTCCCCATGGTCCCTGGCCCATTCTCCAAGGAGCATGGCACAGTCTGTAGCTGCACCCACGTGGGTGTGCCAGCCCCTGCCAGAGCCGGGTCTTGGAGGAGACAGGAGGGTCCGGCTCTGGGCTCAGTGACTGGGTGCAAACCCCAGGACCACAGCAAGCACCAAGCTTTTTAGCTGTGGGCTCCCCATCTGTGAGCTGGGGTGACAGAATCCAGCCCCCTCGTGAGGCTTATCCTGTGGGTTCATGGAGCTCAGCAGGCCGAGTCCCAGTGGAACACAGAGGACACTCACAAGTTGTGAGTGGAAGGGCGTGAGGGTTACTCCTTGGAGTTGGGCACAGCCACCAACTGCCCTTGCCTGGGTGGGCCCTGTCCCCTGCTGTGCAGCTGAGCGAGGTGTGCAGAGCCCTCCGAAGGACCCCAGGGGAAGAACGTCCACGAATGTCCACAAGGGTGTCCTGTACAGCTCAGGTCACACTGACTCCTTTCCATAGTCCATGAGCACAGGCACCCTGTTTCAGAAGAGGAGCTGGGGTTTTTGCAGGGCTTCATGGCGGGCTGGGGCTGGGGTTCTGCCCCAACTGTCCTTGCTCAGGGCCCCTGGCCCGACTCTGCCTGGTCTTGTGGCTGCATGTGACCACCAGGCCCTGGGTTTTTCCTCGATATGCCCTGTCCAGATCTGCAACTGGTTTGCAGAGCGATATGCCTCAAGGGGGGATGGAGGCCCAGAATGGGGCAGTGGGCCTGAGCTCCCTACCCCAGGCTTGCAGAAACATTGCCCCGAGTGCCCTTGGCAGGGAGGCTGGCCTGGCTGGCCCCTCACGCCTCCCTGCACCCCCAGCTCCCAGGCCATGAGCTTCCAGGAGACCAGCCTGGGCCCCAACAAGGGGAGGCTGGGCGCATCCCAGGCCCTGCTGGACCAGGAGGAAGCAGAAGACCAGCAGCTACTGGAGCCAGAGGCCTGGAGGACGTACATGCAGCGACGCAGTGCATTGCGTGAGTTCCTGGCCTCAGAACTGAGCGTGCACCTGCTCAAGCGCCACCATGCCCGCTTGCAGCTACTGCGCAAGTGCTCCTACCACATCGAGGTCTTGCCCAAGCACCTGGCCCTGGGTGACCAGAACCCGCTGGTGCTGCCCAGTGCCCTGTTCCAGCTCATCGACCCCTGCAAGTTCCAGCGCATGAAGAAGGTGGGCACGGCGCAGGCCAAGATCCAGCTGCTGCTGCTGGCTGACCTGTTGGAGCAGCTGGACAGTGGCCGTGCAGAGCTGGATGCCCTACTGGAGTCACCCAACCCACGGCCCTTCCTGGCTGGCTGGGAGCCAGTGACACGGCGGCTGGCAGACCTGTCGGCCATCATGGACAGCTTCCTGGTCATGATGGTGCCCGGGCGCCTGCACATCAAGCACCGTCTGGTGTCTGATGTTGGTGCCACCAAGGTACCACACATACGGCTCATGCTGAGCACCAAGATGCCCGTCGTGTTCGACCGGAAGGAGTCGGTGGCCCACGAGGACTGGGCCAGCCTGCGCTGGTTTGTCACTGTTCAGCCAGCGGCACCTGAGCAGTTTGAGCTGCGCTTCAGGCTGCTGGACCCACGGACACAGCAGGAGAGCACCCAGTGCGGCGTGGTCCCTGTGGCCGCTTGTGCCTTCATTGTCCGAAGCCTGCTGCCCAATCGCTCCTACAAGTTTACCATCAAGAGGGCCGAGAGCTACACGCTGGTGTATGAGCCCTGGCGGGACAGCCTCACCCTACAGACCAAGCTGGGACTGCCCTCAGGGCTGCCCCCTGCCAGCAGTAGCCCAGTCTGCCCTTGACCGCACCTCTGAGAGATGATTTTCTAATATTTACCCGCAAATAAAGAGGAGTATAAACGTGCATACAGAACTAAAGAAACAAACCTACTCAATTCTTATAACTTTCATTTATTGTGGAGACAGGGTCTCACTATGTTGCTCAGGTTGGTCTTGAATTCCTGACCTCTAGTGATCCTCCCACCTCGGCCTCCCAAAGTGCTGGGATTGAAGACCCAAGTCGCCTGGGCTCAGGTGATCCTTCTGCCTCAGCCTCCTGAGTAACTAGGACTATAGGCACCTGGCTATACTTATGTTATCAAGGCAGTAATGGCCACAAGTATTTCTCCTAGCTCGGTTCCCCGGGACCCCTTCCCCCAGCTCCTGCTGTTCCCCAGGGAGCCCAGGCTGGTTCCTCCAGGACAGCTGGCCCCTGGGGCAAGAAGTACCAACCCTGGTGGCCTCCTTCAATGACTAGGATCACTCCATGGGGGTTTTGCCACTCCAGCCCTGGCCTCCATGTCTCTCCACCCCTGGCTTCTTGCACCTGCCTCCTAGGCTGGGGGCTTCCCAAGGGTGTGACCTTGGTGCTTCCTGCCCCCTGCCCAGCCTCCCAACCTTGTCAGCACCTCCAAGGTGGTGGTGCCACAGTGAGTCTTGGCAGTGAGCAGCTCAGCTGTGCCAGCCTGTGCCCCTGCCCCCTCATCCCCACATACTTCCCATCTTTGTTCTTCACGGGTGCCGGCTGCACACAGACTTAAAATTGCTGCCTTCATCTCAAAGAGGCCCAGACTCCACCATCGGCCCAGCCCCTGCTTGTTGCCATGTGCCTTCAGGACTCCAACTGCCCTTTCCTCCTGGAAGCCCTCCTGGATGCCAGGTCCCAACTCCCCCTGCCTGTGTGGTACCTTCTCATCCTCTGTTCAAGCACTTCCCACTGGATAGCATGAGCCTCCTCCACTGCACACCCCTACGGCTGCCCTTGGACAGCAGTGCAGGGCCCATCTGCCTCCCCAAGGAGGCCACACCCTGGCATCTGCCCCCCGCCTACCTCCTGTGAATGCTCAGGGCTTAATGGGGCCTCTTTTCCCTACAGTGACTGTGCAGCCTCCCTGCCCACTCAAGTCCTGACTCACGGGAGGCCAGGCCTTGTGCCTTTCCAGTGGCAGCAGGTGCTGTGGGGCCTCTGGGGACACAGACACGCCCTGGAGGGTGTGCCACACCAAGGGCCCCAGGAGTGACCTCAGGCTGGGACCAGTCAGGACAGTCAGGGCTGGTAGCCTTGGGGACTTCGGACTTGGCCAGCCCAGCCTGGAGACAGAGTGCACAGGGTTGGGTCACTGCGGCACCTGGACAGCACTCCCAGCTGAGGCCTGTCCTTGCTGAGCCAGCCCCCACTCGTTCCTGTGCCCGAAGCAGATGACCCTGAGGCTGCACAGCAGACTCACCAGCCTTAAAACAGGCGCTGGCCCCTCTGCGTGCCCTGCATCCAGCACTTCATCCCCAGCAGGCCCTGGACAGCCTCCATAGCACCTCTCGGGCAGGACAAAGGTCACCTTCGTTTGCCCCCTAACCAGACCTCCGAACACCCAGAAATGAGAACACTTGCAGAGTAGTCTTTATAATGAAATTAATATTAAATCACCCATCTGAGAAGAGATACAAAAGTTGGAATGTATAAAGTTTTTTTGGAGTCGAGTCTCACTCTGTTGCCCAGGTTGGAGTGCACTTTGCAACCTCCACCTCCTGGGCTCGGGCGATCCTCCTGTCTCAGCCCCCCAAGTAGCTGGGACTACAGGCACGAGCCACCAAGCCTGGCTGGAATGAAGACATTCGATTTGTAAAAACATCAGAATCCCATAGACACATCCCCTGGAGGCCTCCTTCATGAGGCCACAGAAGGACAAGCCCCTCAGGCCTACACACCTTCCTACAGCCTTGGGACTCAGACCCAGAGGGTGAGTAACTGCACCAAATCAAACTCAGCCTCCCAGGGTCCACAAAAGGTCAGAGCAACAGACACACTGAGAAGGCTGTCCCAGAAAGGCACAGCTCAGGGTGGGGTCTGGGGGTGCCCTACTTCCGACCCCCCAGAAGTACTGCACATGGCTCTTCACATTTTGGGAGGGGGAGTGAGGCTGGTGTGGGCAACTGGTTTGGGTCTTCATATGGGTGACCCCCGAAGGACACAGGCCAGTGGGAGTGAGAAGGCTCTCTTTCCAGGAAGGCCTCCTTGCCTGGCGTGTGGACTGAGGTTCCAGTTCCAGTGAAGAAGACAAAAATAGAAAATAAAGCTGAACTCCACAGGGCCACCCAACATGGTCACGGATGGTGTCTGGAGGTCTGAGAGTGGCCTCCACAGGGGTTCCTTCCTTACTCTGACACTTCTCAGTGAAAGCAGAACCTTCTCACACTGGGGCTTCCCCCAAGGGGCTTTCTTGTCCCCAGAAAAGCAGCATAGCAGCGAGGGAAGTGGTCTCACCCTCACCTTTTCTTCCTCTAGGTCTGTCCACAAACAGGCAGTTCACATAGGCCTGCATCTTACCCGGAAAAGCAGGGCTGGGATGGAGGCTGGCAGAGGAGGGCAGCCTTGCAGGCTGGAGGGGCACCCAGGCACGTAGGACTGTTGAGTGGCCCCAGGCTGATAGCAGAGGGGACCAGGAACTTCCCTCTAGGCCCTGGCACCTGTGGGTGCAGGTGGCGGGGAGGACTCTTCAGGATGACACGGCTGGCCTCCTCTGAACCCTCACCTGGCTGGCAGGCACCAGGCTGTGCTGGGCCTCACAGAAGTCCAGGAGCCGGCTCCAGAGCGGACAGCAGCGCAGGAGGAGGTGGTCTCCTGTGAAGGCTGGGGTCAGACAGAGCTCAGTCTGCCTCTGCCCCTGCCCTCCCCAAGGGGTGTCTAACCCAGCCTCACCGATCAGGCACAGCCCTTCCTGGGCCCGCGTGATGGCCACGTTCACTTGGTGGGGATCCACGACAAAGCCTAGAAACCTCTTGAGCCAGCTTTTGGTGGGTCGCTGGTCCAGGTCGCCCCTGGGGCACGTGCGAACAGTGCTCACCAGCACATAGCGCCACTCGCTCCCTGGGGACAGGGGGAGGCCATGCAGCAGTCGCCCCACACACACGGCCACGCCCACATCCGCCCTGACCCCTGCCTCCCACCCCGCCAGCCTCACCCTGGCTCTTGGTGATGGAGCACACGGTCATCCCGAGGATGCCCTCCTGCAGAAGGCTCTTGCTGATCTCCGAGGCCTGTGCGTTGTAAGGCGTGAGGACGGCAACATCCTGGGGTGCCACTGTCTTCCCCAGGAGCAGCTGCTTGACAATTCGGACCTGAGGGGCCGAGAAGCAGGTGGAGCAGGGTCCTGGTGCCTCTCCTGCCATGGGCACGAGAGCCCCACTGGTCCCTCACTGTCCTGTGGAGTACCAGGAATGGCCCTATGGACACTCACCACTTGTGCCACCTCCTCCATGTTGGCTTTGGAGTTCTCGTTCCCTTCGTCTGTGGACACTACTAGACTCTGCTCATGGCCCTGCACGTGGCCAAAGATGACAGGACAGCTCTTCTTGGCAGCGTGGCCCAGGACACTGGGCGGCCGCCTCAGGCCCTGCCCGGTCTTCAGTTTCCTACTGTAGAACTCCATGGAGGGAAAGGCGCAGATACCTTCATGCTGCAGGGTGAGGAAGTGTGCGGGTCAGAGGCCTGGCCATCCCATGCCCAGAGCTGTAGCTCCTCCCTGCCATGCACGACCCAGGCACACCCTAACAGGGGGCTGACCATGCGGTACTGCGTGTCCAGCATGTGGGCTTCCCCGTGGTACCGCTCGAAGAGAGACTGGTCCAGACCCAGGTTCTGCAGCTGCTCGTTCTTGACCACAGGGCGCAGCTGCTTGTGGTCCCCAAGAAGAACCACCTGCAGAGACAGGCAGGTGTGGCCCCATACCCCTAGACTCAGAGGGACCGGCCCATGGCTGGCCTGTGTCTGCAAGCACCCAACGGAGTGGGAGACAGGCTGGGTCACCCCACACACACACACCTTCTCTGTCTGTGAGAACTGCACCAGGGGGATGAGTGTCTCGGGCTCTGTGGCCATGCCCGCCTCGTCCACGAGGATCTGCCGCACGTCCAGGTTCCTGAGGCTGGGTGAGGCCGCACAGGAGCATGTGCACAGGATGACCTCGTGCTGTTCCAGCTCGAACTTCCGGGCCTTCGCCAGGGTCGACTTGTACCTGGCAGAGACGTGGCCAGTCACCCTGGCACCCCACGCCACAGGCCACACCACCTAGCCCCAGGCTTACCGGAGGAGGTCTTCCCTGGGGAGGAGCTCTCCACCCTGCAGCCGGACGTCAAAGGCCTTGATAGAGGACGAGTAGGGGTTGGAGGCCTGTCGGATTCGGTGGTGCAGGCTGATGCTCCTGCAGGGACAGCTCAGTGAGCTGTGTTTCGGTGGGACATGAGGCAGCCCGGCCCTGCCACCCACGTTCACAGGAGGTGGACAGGCGCACCTGAGGGTCTGATTGGGCCTCCCCTCCCGTGGGCCCCTCCTGAGCAGCCTCCTGCTGCCCACGCCCGGTGCAGGGAACTCCATGGCCTCGGCCTGCTCGCCGTACACGCGGAGGGGCCTCAGCTCTGGCCAGCTCAGGAGCATTCCTGGGAGCAGCAGGGCTGTGAGTGCCGGCCCCTGCCAGCACCTACAGTCCCCCCAGAGCCAACCCACACACCTGCCAGGACATCCACCGACTTGTTGGAGGGGCCACAGTACAAGATGCAGGGCCCCCCTGGCTGCTTCTCCCTGCCGGGAGCACTGCTGGCCTGTGCCTGCTCCTGGTTTGACTTGTGAAACCAGAATATGATGTGGAGGCCCACGACCGTCTTGCCAGTGCCTGCAGCAGAAAGCGGGGTAAGTCCAGCCCTCCCTCTCTGCCCGCTGGACAGTCCTCCATGCCCTCCTCCTGCATGAGCCCACCTGGCGGACCCTGGATGACTGAGAACGGCTTCTCCAGAGCCAACCTGACAGCAGCATTCTGGCTGGGGTTCAGCTTGTGGCGGCCTCCGGGGAGGTCATAGGACTGTCGCTCCAGGACCCTGCTGGCT